AAAACGAATGGTAATTCCCTATAACATAGCTGGAGTAAACCACTTTATCAGCACAGATGTAGCATCAGGTGAAATACCCTTCTGTTTTGCAGGCTGTCAATGAAAACGGCCCGAATTAAACCGGACATGGAAAATGCAAGGCAAGTTATTTTGACAAATCAGTGGAGTTACAGTTTATACAATCTGGACATTGTATTAATTTTTTCAATATTTAACTTCTCTAATCAATATGATAAGCAGGTCTCATTGGCATCAGGAAATAGGCATTTAAAATTTAAAAAAAGATAATTATCGTAAAATTATATTGGCAGTTTGCCCATTCATCTTCTCACAGGTTGAAAATTGTATTAAAGGCTACAGGAGCAAGGGATGATGAGTGCACCAAATTTATAGGAGAGATCAGTGAAAACCATGATATATTCTAAACCATGTAAGAGGACACCATCATGGCTCATAGCGAGTTTCCAACAGCACTTTAACAAAGTTGTAGAAATATATCTGAAAATATGAAATCAGGAAAAAAAAATGTTAAAAGACTTGAAAGTAGGGAATCATGAAAAACAATGTTAATCTTGCACTTTGTAGACATCGCAACTAGATGTAGTCAGACTACAATAATATAAAGAAAAAAGATGAAGGCCAGAAAAAAAGACAAGTTGTAAATTAATTCAGAGATAGTAGGAACTGCAGATGCTGGAGAATCTGAGATAACAAGGTGTCGAGCTGGATGAACACAGCAGGTCAAGCAGCATCAGAGGAGCAGGAAGGCTGACGTTTCGGGCCTAGACCCGGGTCTAGTAATATCATAAGAAGTCGAGCCTTTAAGATTGAGAAGTTTTAGTGCCTACAAACAAATCAGAGGATACGTTGATAAATGAGGCCACACACAAAAAAAAATTGAGAACAGGAAAGAATCTTGTGTATACATTAAAGTACCAGATGAGGGAGAACCAGCTTTATCACACTGATAAACATGCAAAAGAAAAAATGCTACCTGGTATAAACTTATATTTAAGGTCAAAGCTAGAATAGTGGTCTGTAGTTTTGAACAGTAGCTTGGTGATTAAGATTACTAGGGATGGGAAATAAAAAAGTGCTGCCCAGCCAGTGATGCTTGCATCCCACAAATGAATTAAAAAAAAGATTTAGAGCAGGTCCCCTTGTTTCAGAAAAAGTGAAGGTAGTATCTCCTGGCAACATACTTCTGGGAATCTCAGCAGATCTCGCAGCATCTATGGAGAGAGAGCATAGTTAACATTTCAGGTACAGGTTCTGAAGAAGTGTCACTGGACCGGAAATGTTAACTCTTCTTTCTCTCCACAGGCAATGCCAGACCTGCTGAGTTTCTCTAGCAGTTTTTGTTTTGTTTCAGATTTGCAGCATTTTCAGTTCTTTGTTTTACTTCTGGGAATGTAAGTCAATAAACTTAAAAGCTGTATTTTTGTAGGGTAAGAAATTTCAAAGGTAAATATTTTTGAAACTACCGAAAGAAGGTGATTGGGAAATTATGGAATTAAACAACAGTGTTTATAATTTGATTGGTGCATTAAGAGTATGGTATTTCTTAGCTGGGTGACAAGAGTTTGCATTTAATTTTGAAACAGATCCAGAAATGTTCTGCCAACTTCACAGAAAGAAACTGGCACGCGTCTTTATGATGTGCATGGATGTTTTTGCTATGAGGAGATTCTATGGAATTTGAGCAATGCCCGATAGACAAAATGGAAAGGAAATTTAAGATTGGAAGTCAGGCTTTGGGAGGGGTGGGGGGAGGATTTTAAATATATAGGGTTAGACCTGAAGGAGAATAAATCAAATGACTTTGGATTGATGTTTTTACTTGGAAAGTGTTAATTGCATTGCAATAAAGCTGTCCAGGTACTCTCAGAAAGACAATTATGCATTCAAGGAAGAAAAAGACCATTGAAGGAAATTTGACTGAACAGTCAAATTGGTTATGCATTCAAATAACACCGTTATTAGTAATGTCATATTAGAACTGATGGAACATGGTAATGTTGTGGAAGTTGTGAGATCAAGTAAAACAATAAATAAATTAAATTCAGAAAAATTCACACTCAGGTTTCCAGCCTGAGAAAACCCAGAAAATATGAAGCTAGTCCTCTTTAGCGATGCAATGCTTCATATGCTAATTTTCCAGATGGTTATTCGAGTATGACAGGATTTGTCATATTCTTGGTGGGAAAGAATAATAAATATCTTCTATTTGCCTGGAAAGCCAAGAAATAAAGTAATTAATTTAAAAGTACCTCAGTTGCTGAAAATCCTATACGATCTGAGAAAATTCATTCTAAAAATGTTATATGGATAACCAATCTATTTGTGATAATTGAGAAAATATTGAGGACTGAGTTTGCTAGCATACGGGAAACATTAGAAAGAAGAGATTTCCAAAACAAAGTGGTTGCCACAAGTCACCAGTTGTCACATTGTTTCACAAACAATGCTTGCTCCAGGAGCTTAGCGGTGATCCTTTAAGAAGGGTGCTGGGTGGTATGAGGAGTTATTAACCACAATGGATAAATCAATTTTGGTTTTGGTCACTTCTTTTGTTTAGAAAAAAAGGGGAATATGGGAAATTGTGTTGTATGAAAAAATATAATCTTGTTACTGATTAGGTGCACTATAATATTTTCTTTACTTTTATTACTTTTGTTAAAATTTAAAGCGGGGACTCTAATTTTGCAAGTAATTTAAAAAAGGACCCTTGTGACATATTGGTAAATCTTTACCACTGGATCAGGAGTTCAAGTCCCGCTTGCCCTGGTTGTCAGCCATAATATATTCATGCTAATTTTTAAAAAAATCAGCCAGCAGTTAAGCAGATTAGAGTTAATTGATTAATCAATTTATTGGACAGATATAAAGGGGGAACACACAGGACTGATGCATGGAAGGAGCTGTAAGACTGAGTAAAAGAAGAAAAAGAAAAACATAAGGCTAAGTAAAGGGCTCTTGTGGTGTTGTGATAGTGCCCCTACCCTACGTCTGAGCCAGGAGGCCTGAGGTCAAGTCCCACCAGCTTCAGTAGTGTGCAAATAACATCTCTGAATAGGTTAATTTGAAAATATCTAAGACTGAGTAAAAGACAAAAAAAAGTAAGACTGAGTAAAGGACTCTTGTGGCACTGTGGTAATGTCTCTAGCCCTGAGCCAGGAGACCCAGGTTCAAGACCCATCTACTCCAGAGCTGTCTACTAGCATCTTTGAACAAGTTGTTTAGAAAATGTAACACTGAGTAACGAAGGGTTATGTGGTGAGTCAGTTGTAGTGTCCTTTCGGGCCAGAGGATCCGAGTTCAAATTCCACCTAGTTCACAAGTACATCTTAACATGCTGAACAGGTTGATTTAAATAAGAAAGACTGAGTAACTAATAAATTTTACCCATAAAGAAAGGTGTCTTTGGGGTTCTCTTGGTGCTGGTACAGTGTTCCTACTTCTGGGTCAGAAAGTCAGGTTTAAGTCCCACCTGCTTCAGAGGTGTGTCATTACCTGACTGAACAGGTTGATTTTTCCAATAAGAAATACGTCTTGACTTGTCTCATTAACTTATTTTTTCAAAGAGTTGAGGTTATCTGGAACTCACTGCCTGAAAGGGTGATAGAGGCAGGAACTCTCAAGACATTTAAAACCATTTAGATGAGCGCTTGAAGCAGGACAGCTTTCAAGGCTCCAGGCCACGTACTAGAAAATGGGATGAGAACAGATGTCTGTTTGATGACTGGCATGAACACAATGGGCCAACATGCCTTATTCCATGCTGTAAAAACTTTTTGACCCCAATGACTTGTATCCAAATTACCAAGTCCTTTCGAATTTCAACGCTCCCCAGCCTCACTATTTAAGAAATCCTCTGTATTTCTGCTAATCCTATCAAAGTTGGTAACTTCGCTTATATGCAAATTATATTCCATCTGTCAAATTAATGCTCACTCGGTTAGCACCTCCAAATCCACTTGAAGTAGCGTTGCATTCTCCTCATGACTCTTGTACCCATGTAGTTTTCTATCAACTATAAACTTGTATAAACTACATTTAATCCCCACGTCAAAATCACTGGTATACTCCCAGTCACAACCTGCCATTCTGAGAATGAACTATTTATTCCGATTCCTCCTTCTTTCTTTTAACCAAGCATACCAGTATATTAGTCCCCAAGGCCATATGCTCTGATTATGTTTACTAACCTGTGTGGGGCTTTATTGAAAACCTTCTGAAAATCCAACTACACCACAATCACTGGTTTCCCCCTTATCTATTTTGCTAGCTATATCCTTGAAAAACAGCAACAGTCTGGTAAACAAGTTTTCCCTTTCTTAAATCCTTCTTGACTTTGCCGAATCAGTTTATTGTTCTGCGTCACATTGTTTATAGGAGATTTTAGTGTTTTCCCTACCACTGACATCAAGCTGGAAGCTCCTGGTTTCCTCTCTCCCTCCCTTCTTCAATACTGGAGTTACAATTGCAATGAGCATACTGTCCAGCGTCTAAAGAATGGCCTCCTCCTGCTTCTAAGTCTTATCCTCCTTTGAAAGGCATTCTAATAATCAAGACTTTTCAGGTGGCAGGGTGAAATCCTCACAAACTGAAAACTTCTCTTTTTTCAATTTAAAAAGCACTGTTGAGTTCAGAGAGAGTATCCAAAATTTTAGAGAAACTTTATTCTTTCAGATAATAGTGCCATTGTGTTTCCAGCATATAGTTTATCATTTCTACAACTGACTGGGTGGGATAGTTTTCTCTTTACCACAGGATCCTATTCAGTTTTTCTTCTTCACTGTTGACATAAGTTGCAAGCAGAAATAAAAGCTCACATGATCTATTGGTATTAAATGAAAAGTTTAGGCCTAACACATATTTTATCAAATACTTGCAAGAAACACTGTTAAACCATATTTCACAAATGCACAGCCACCATTCTAGGACTCTCAACCTTTCTCTCAAATGACAGAAGCAATATAACCTGAATGTGCAATTACCTTCTGAAGATCATCTTTCTCCTGCTTCGACAATTTGATCTGCTTCTCTAGTGCCTTAATTTGCCGACAGCCATCTTCAAAATCCCTTCTGATGAGACTTGCTTCTTCAAGCTGCTGCTCCAGCTGACTGAAATCTGGAACAAATTGCAGTATGATTAGTTGCCTGATCTCACAGAAATGTCATTTTAACAGTCAAATCAACTTGTTCCATTTTAACTGTCCCTTGACTCCTGCTGCCCCAGCACCTTACCAAACTCAACACAATAATACGACTGCCCTAGCACCTTACCAAACCCAACACAACAATATTGCTGCCCCAACACCTTACCAAACCCAACAATACCACTGTTCTCAGACCCCACGAATTAGGGGGAGGTAAAAACAAAATCGCTGCAGATACTAGAAATTGAAATACAATCAGAGAGTACTGGAGAAACTCAGCAATTCTTGGAGCATCTATGTAGAGAGAAACAGATTTAATGTATCAAGCTCAATATGCCTGTTCAGAACTTTATAGGGAAGTGGTGATGATGTGGTAATATCACTGGACTAGTAATCCCAAACTCCACACTAATGATCCGGGAATGTAAATTAGAATCCTATCATGGCAGATGGCAAAATTTCAACTCAATAAAAATCTGGAATTAAAAGATGGTGAATATATAAACATTGCCTTGTTGTAAAAATGAATCTTGGTCACTAATGTCCCTGTAGGGAAGGAAATCTGCTCTCCTTACATTATTGGCCTACACATGACTCCAGACGTACAGCAATGTGCTTGACTCTTAACTGCCTTCAGAATTGGCCTAGCAAGCCGGTCAGTTCAAGGGCAATTAGGAATGGGAAATAGTGCTGGCCTTACCAGTGAAGTCCACATCCGATGAGGGATTAAAAATAAGCAGAGGCAGGGAGGCTAACAAGAATGATATAATGCCAAATTGGGGCACAGCATATAGTTCTTTTTATAGCTGTGTTTAGAGCTGGAAAATGTCACTTGATCACACAGATCCTACATCGTTACTGGAAAGCCAATATCAGCAAGATGTTGTTGTCCTGAAGACGTGACGGAAAACAGATAGAGGTAGATTGCTGACTCCAAGATGGCACCTGCAATTGTGAAATCTCCAGATTGTTTCCTGGGTATATTTTAGAAAAATACCTATTCACTGAGTTCTCAGTCACTGAAAATGACTTCACAATAAAACTATTCACCCAACTAGACTCTATTCTAACAAATTCATTATGGGGTAGAATTACATAGAGTCATACAACATGGAAATGGACCCTTCGGTCCAACGAGTCCATGCCGAACATAATCCCAAACCAAACTAGTCCCACCTGCCTGCTCCTGGCCCACTTCCCTCCAAACCTTTCTTATTCATGTATCCATCCAAATGTCTTTTAAATGTTGTAATTGTACCCGCATCCAACACTTCTTCAGGAATCTCCTTCTACATGCAAACCACCCTCTGCATAAAAAAATTGCCTCTCATTTCTTTTTAAAATCTCTCTCCTCTCACCTTAAAATTGTGCCCTCTAGTCTTGAAATCCTCCAGTCCTAGGGAAAGGACAACTACCGTTAACTCTATCTATACCTCTCATTATTTTATAAACTTCTATCGGGTTGCCTCTCAACCTCCGACGCTCCAGTGAAAAAAGTTCCAGGCTATCTGGCCTTCCTGGATAACTCAAACCTTCCATACCCGGCAACATCCTGGTAAATCTCTTCTGAACCCTCTCCAGCTTGTTAGTATTCTTCCTATAACTGGGCAACCAGAACTGGACACAGTATTCCAGAAGAGGCCTCACCAATGTCCTGTACAACATCAACATGAATTCCCAACTCCCATAATCAAAGGACTGAGCAATAAAGGCAAGCGTGCCAAATGCTTCTTTAACCACCCTGCCTATATGTGACACAAACTTCAAAGAATTATGTACCTGCACTCCTAGGTCCCTCTGTTTTACAACACTATCCAAGGCCCTACCATTAATTGTATAAGCCCTACTCTTATTTGTTACACGAAAATACAATACCTCACATTTATCCAGATTGAACTCCATCTGCCATTTTTCAGCCCATTGCCTTGAGCAAGCTTCTTTTGTAATCATAGAAAACCTTCTTCACTGTCTACAATGCCATCAATTTTGGCGTCATCTGCAAATTTAGTAACCATGCCTTCTATACTCTCATCCAAATCATTTATATAAATGACAAACAGAAGAGGATCCAGAACTGATCCCCGTGGAAAAACCATTGGTTACAGGCCTCCAGTCAGAAAAGCAACCTTCCACCATTACTCTCTGTCTCCTGCCATTAAACCAATTATGTATCCAATAGGCAAGCTCACCCTGAATCCCAAGTAACCTAACTTTACTAAATAATCTATAATGTGGAACCTTGTCAAAGGCTTTACTAAAATCTAAATAAACAATGTCTACTGCTCTGCCATCATCAACTTTTTTGGTAACTTCCTCAAAAAACTCAATCAAGTTTGTAAGACATGATTTTCCTCGCACAAAACCATGCTGACTATCCCTGATCAATTTTTGTCACTCTAAATGTCCATAAATTCTGTCTTTTATAATCACTTCCAACAAGCTAGCCACAACCAAAATCAGACTCACAGGTGTATAGTTCCCTGGTTTCTCCTTACATACTTTCTTAAACAAAGGTACAACGTTAACCATCCGAGTCATCAGGCGCCACACTTGTAGTTGTAGATGATGCAAATATTTCTGCACGGGGTCTCGTAATTTCCTTTCTTACTTCCCACAACTTCCTGGATACATTAGATCAGGTCCCGGAGATTTATCCACCTTTATATATTTGCTAAATATCTGAAAGGTTGACTTCTCCTCCTCCAGATGCTGCCTGGCTTGCTGTGTTTTTCCAGCCTCCTGTTTGTCTACATTATATTGTCTAAGTCCTCCCAAATTTCCTCCTCTGTAATATGAACTGTTTTTAAAACATCAAAAGTCTGTGCCGTAGTATTACAAACACAGCAAAAATTTGTAAATATTGACAAAGCATGGTGATTATTTTTGCTCAAGATTTTAGTGGAAAATTGTGTGCAGCATAAAACAGAGTGCTGAACGACAATGCTTCTATTTTGTACTTCTGGCAAGATCAATTTCACCCTCGAGTGCAATTGAAATATTTTCAAGCTTGTTCGATATTCTACATGAGTAAATGAATCATTGGTAAATACTGATTTTGCATATTTGATAATATAAATATTTCATATTCAGTTACTTGATTTAATACTCTTAGAACAGTTAGAACCTTGACACCCCTCTCCTCAAACTGAAAACACATGGTGTTCTGAAAGCACAAAAATGTCATGTTTTATCAAATTCCCCATAGGATTTAAGAATGAAATGCCTGACAAACTGAGCCAAATTTTTAAAATAAAAAAATGATTTGATTTGGAATTTTGAAGTGTTCTTTAGAAATATCCTTTTCCGTTACATTGATCTGAGACAAGTACCATTTCCAATGCTAAATATCACTGTAATACACTACCATTGACTGAATTATTCTTTCACCACTCTGATCTCTGCATATTTCTTACTCTTCCATAAGCGCCTTCCCAGCTATGTGCAAATTGCTGAATACTCAAAAATGCAGAGGACAAGGGTCAGCAGGCTGCGATTACAGTCAAAATATTTCACATTTTATTCTGGGTTTTCTCATTCTGAAGGGCCACGTTCAGAGACTGGGGGCTTAATGGAAAGCAGACTAAGGAGAAGTAGGGCAAAGGTGAGACAGAAGAATTGAAAGACACTCCTAATCTTAAAGTCTGAAATAAGGTGAAACTGAAATTTAATGCGCAGAAGAACTGCTATAACATTTGAAGATGTAGAAGACTCAATGATCCATCAGTTGAATCCATTAACTGTTTTATGGAATGAGTTAAAATTAGCCAACAAATATTCTTCAGTGTAAAACTGGTCAAACTTTGCTGCTTGATTCAAAACTGGCACATGTAGCAACATTACCAGGATAATAACCCATTGAGCTCTTCACTTAAATTCTTTGGACATTCTGAAGAGTGAATGTTTTAATGATTTTTCCCAATTGTATTTCCTTGAGGTATCTTGTTAAGCCGGGTTTTCTATAAACTACAAGCAAATATACAGGCCAGAGATAAAAGCAGGAATTGCTGAAGAAACTCAGCAAGTCTGGCAGCATCTGTGGGGGCAGAAGAGAGTTTACGTTTTGAGTCCAGTGCATCTTCATCAGAACTGATGGCAGCTGGGAAAAGTGCATTTATGATGAAGACAGAGTTGGGAGGGATTGGATAGGTGGGGGGGAGAGGTTAGTGGGGAATATGAGCTGATAGGTTGACACGGAACACAGAGAGACAGATATGAAAGGGATAGGTGACAAGGGGATTATTTATTATAAGCCAGGACAGAAGAGAAGCTGAATAAGGGATATTGACAGCTAAGAACAGGAGAGAACGGGTAACCTGTGCGGAAAGCAACCCATGTAATGCAGTAATACGACGAAGAGTATGAGAATGGGTAAGCTGTACTGAAAGTACTGACAGGACCAGGATGTGCAGGTGGATAGAAAAAAGGCACTAAAAGTATTGAACACGATGTTCAGTCTTAGATGCTGCAGGGTCCCCAAGCGAAAGATGGGGTGAGCTGAGCTGAGACTCGCTGGAGCACTGCAGCAGGCCTCATTAGAAATGTTGGTGTAGGAATGTGGTGGTGTGTTGAAATAACAGACAACTGGAAGTTTGGGGTCATTTTCATAGACAGACGTAGATGTTCAGCAAAGCGGATACCCAATCTGCATTTTGTCTCTCCAGTGTTATGAGCAGTGAATACACCAGGAGAAATAGACCAGAGATAGCTATTGGGTAAATGCAGATCAGAGACAACATGAGATAGATATAGAGGAACATGAGATAGATATAGAATAAAGCTCTCTACACAAGCACGCACAAATCAGAGATGCCACAGGACAACAGTAAACAGCTCAACAAAGCATCAGAAGAACACACAGCCTTTAGGGAAGGAAATCTGCCATACTTACCTTGCCTGGCCTACATGTGACTTCAGATCCACAGCAATGTGGTTCACTCTTAACTGCTCTCCAAAATGGTCTAGCAAGCTACTT